AATAAAACCCAGGTTCCAGATGGAAAAGAGCTTGACTTCAAGGAACCTGGGTCAGTCCCCAAAGTGGCCTCTTCCTGCTGCGAGGCAGAGCTCTGGACAGAGAGGGTGTGGTCACAGTGTGTCCATGGGGATTTCTGGCCCTCAGTTCTCTTGGGCTTTCAGCATTGGGATTGAGACTATAATCCTAAGAGCATCCTAATAATTCCTTATTGGATTAATGATAATTTCTAGTGCTAACCACATGGGTTAAGCACAAATTGTCATTCTATTTTTATAAATCAAGAAACCAAGGCACGTAAACCAATAAAAAAAGGTTTAAAGGTGACCAGGGCCTCGGGTCTCCTGACCCACCATTGCCTTGTCTCTGAGATACTGTCCAATTTTACTCTTAGAAAAACCTTTTGAGGTTGGGATTTTATACCCATTTTACAGATGAGGAAACAGAGTCAGGCAGATCAAGTAACTGCTAAGTGGCATCTCTTAAGCCATCAGGGCTGCTCCTGTGGCTGGACCGCGGCTGCCGCTGAAGTTCTAGCACAGCAGGTTGAGTGCAGTTTTGCAGAATTTAGTAATTGCAGAATCATGATTGTTCTCTGTGTAATCTTCCCCCTGCTTAGATTCCAATTTAAGACATGGGGAATGAAGCACACAAGCACACCATTTCTGGATGCATCTGTGGTGTTACCATGGTTACATAACCCAGGTTCCAGATGGAAAAGAGCTTGACTTCAAGGAACCTGGGTCAGTCCCCAAAGTGGCCTCTTCCTGCTGCGAGGCAGAGCTCTGGACAGAGAGGGTGTGGTCACAGTGTGTCCATGGGGATTTCTGGCCCTCAGTTCTCTTGGGCTTTCAGCATTGGGATTGAGACTATAATCCTAAGAGCATCCTAATAATTCCTTATTGGATTAATGATAATTTCTAGTGCTAACCACATGGGTTAAGCACAAATTGTCATTCTATTTTTATAAATCAAGAAACCAAGGCACGTAAACCAATAAAAAAAGGTTTAAAGGTGACCAGGGCCTCGGGTCTCCTGACCCACCATTGCCCTGTCTCTGAGATACTGTCCAATTTTACTCTTAGAAAAACCTTTTGAGGTTGGGATTTTATACCCATTTTACAGATGAGGAAACAGAGTCAGGCAGATCAAGTAACTGCTAAGTGGCATCTCTTAAGCCATCAGGGCTGCTCCTGTGGCTGGACCGCGGCTGCCGCTGAAGTTCTAGCACAGCAGGTTGAGTGCAGTTTTGCAGAATTTAGTAATTGCAGAATCATGATTGTTCTCTGTGTAATCTTCCCCCTGCTTAGATTCCAATTTAAGACATGGGGAATGAAGCACACGAGCACACCATTTCTGGATGCATCTGTGGTGTTACCATGGTTACATTTTTGGCATGCTTTCCCGTTTATGTTTTCCACTGATTTTATTGCACCTGACTGTGAGCTAAATGGCTTGGTTTTAAGCCTGCCGTCACGTAGGAACTGGGGCAGAAGTGACCTCAGCCGTCACACACAGTGGAGAACCATGTTTCATCTTTGCTTGTGTGCACGCCTGGTGCTGCATTCCTGCGAAACCAGTCAATTAGGAATTGGGAACGTGCAAATGGTCTTCCTACTGAAAAAGAAAACAAGTAACATTTCATTTTACGTTTCCTTCATAAAATGGGAAGGAAATTCAGCGGAGGCCTGTTTCCGAGTCCGGCGGTGTGTGTGCCTTTGAACGGGAGAGGCCGCGTGGCGCGGATTCTGTTCCAGGCTCGCACACCTCCGGCCACGGCTGTGTTTATTTTGGTTCTTGGACCCACGTGACTGGTGAAGCAGGACCTCTCTACCACCTGTCCTGCCAGCCGCTCAGGAAGCCCTGGGGCCCTGGGCTTGGAGGACGGCTCCTCCTGGCTCTGTGGTAGCTGCCCTGGGAACAAGCTCGTGTAATCTGCATTTTCCAGAACTTCCTGCTGATGCTATTTCAGTGACTTCAGTATTTTGAGAAGGGGTGACCTCATGAGCAGGTGCTTGTGCTTTGGGCTAGCCTTCTTTTCCTGTACATTTTAGGAGGCTCCACGGGCAGCATGAGACATTAATAAGTAAAGCCCTTTGTTCTCGAGTTCTTCCCCTAGTGCAGCCCAGCCTTGCACGCACCACGAGGGGTTTCACCATCAAGGGTCCCTTTTATCCAGACCCCTGGGCAGAGATGTGCGGGTGACAGCAGCCCTCCTGTTGCACAGCTTTATTGAGATGCAGGAGGCCCGGTGCATGACATTCTTGCACTGTGGTGGGGGGTGGGGTTACAGGGGCAGTTCTCGAGTTCTTCCCCTAGTGCAGCCCAGCCTTGCACGCACCACGAGGGGTTTCACCATCAAGGGTCCCTTTTATCCAGACCCCTGGGCAGAGATGTGCGGGTGACAGCAGCCCTCCTGTTGCACAGCTTTATTGAGATGCAGGAGGCCCGGTGCATGACATTCTTGCACTGTGGTGGGGGGTGGGAGGACGGGGGCAGTTCCCTCAGCCGGACCTGCGCCCTCTCGCAGTCTGGGATCCCCAAGGTGTCCTTAGTGCTGCCATGAGGCGTGAGAGGCTCCTGCTGCTACGCTCGCCAGTGGTGAGCCCGGCTTCTGGCTGAGCAGCGCTCCCCCTGTGGGAGTGCACTGACTACCAGGGGGCAACTCCTGCATTGAGTGTCTGCCCCCGGTGGTCAGTGTGCATCATAGTGACCGGTTGTTCCACTGTTCAGTCGATTTGCATATTAGGGTTTTATTATATAGGATGATTCACCTACCATACAACTCACCTATTTAAAGTGCCCATCCGGTACTATTTTTGCTTGTTATTCTCCACTCCCACTTTATTCAAAAACTTTTATTTCAATAGTATGAGCAAGGTCATCACAATTAAACTTTAATTATATTTACCATTGAAAATCACCCTCTCCCCAAAAACCAAACAAACAAACACAAATTATGGCAGAAAAGAGAGCTAGATGCAGAGTGAATCGCATCCTGAGGGCGCGGTGTAGCTGTGTGGCCTTGTGCAACCTCCCTGACCTCCTTACGCTTCAGTAAAATGGAAATGGAAACACCCACCTCCAACACTGTCTCCCCAGACCCCGTGGCACCCTGGGAGAGGGGTCCGTCACAGGAAAGAGGCTCAGAGAGGTGACTAGCTTGCCTGGAGTCACACAGCGAGCAAGTGGCCTGGTCAGGGTTAAGCCAGCCTGTCTACCTCCCGTGTGGGGTGTAATTAATAGCACTGATTCGAGCAGTGTAGCAGGGACCATTGAGAATGGGAGCAAAGGGAAGCTTCTCATTGCTGAGCTGTATAGTGTTGGCTGTTTAAAACCTTGGGGATTTATGTTTTGGGGGTGGGGACTATGTAAAAAGAAGTATTTTCTCTATGAATTGCAAGTAACTCACTAATACATACAATAGAAATTTAATAATTGTTTAGATTATTCAGGTTTTAAAAATCATTACAGGATTCTCTTGGGGTATCTAGATTTATCTTAGTTTTTGTTAGGTCTCTTCTTAGTATACCAATGGAAAATCACCTTTAAATAATGGATTTGAAATGCATGTAAACGACGTTCATGCTGCTCACTTCTCTCATTCCTCAGAACCATCTGGATAATATTCTTGTCTCCTGCCCCTGAAATTCTGTTGAATTTCCCAACCTCCTTGCCCTCAGTGCTTCAGTCACAGAAACTTCATCCATTCCCCAAACACACCTGCTGCCTTTTTATAACTGGGTAGATTCTAGTTCCCTACATTTCCATGTGACCAGTTTTAAGCTTTAATCTAGATGCCACTTCCACCATGAAGGCCTCCAGGATTGTGCCCACTGCCCTCACTGCTCCCAGACCACCCTCTGTGGCTCTCTTCAAGCACATATTTTGCCTGCTGCATGTCCATCTGTCCTATCAGAATCTAACTCTGCTGAGGGTGGGCACTATCGGCCTCAGTGACCCGCCCAGGCCTAGAATATTGCCTGGGCCAGAGGATAAATATTTGTTGAATGAATGAACAAAATGAAGAAGTGGAGAAGATGCTCTTTGTGTCCCTTGTTTTATTTTTC